AGAGAGAGAGAGAGAGAGAGAGAGAGAGAGAGAGAGAGAGAGAGTGGGGCGGGTGTTAACGGGCCGAGGTCGGCGGCTTTTCCTGCCCGAACCCATTCCCGCCAGAACCCAAAAACGAAAAAAAACCAAAACAAAAAAAAACGGAGGGCCTGCTAGGCCAGGCCACGTCCCGTTTTTGTCGATTATTGAACTCGTAGGCCGTATTACGAGCAGCTCACTGTTTTTCTTGCTGTTTTGAACTGCTCACGGCCCAATCTTGCAGTGGACTGTTATTTCTGCAAATTCTGAACTGTGCAGCGGTCACACGTGCAGTTTTTTCTAATAATAAATTATTGTATGAATAAGAGGGGAGGAGAGGAGGAGGAGTTTGGTTGGCGTGGAGAAGGGGGAATTATCGTTGGTCTTTTGCTGGTGTACATCTTCTTCTTCTTCGCTCCTTCTCTTCAACTTTGTTCATTTCTTCTTGCAATTGGATGGCATTGTACTTTCTCGCAATTTTGCACTTCGAAATTGGCCAGGATCGTAACAATTGTGCTTTCTGCTTTGAAGGTAACAGTTGCCATCCATTCGAGCATTGGGAGTACATGCATGATGATGATGCTGTGAGCTTTTGGAATCAGGTCCATCACAATCGGCAAGTCACAGAGTCCTGTTGGGCTCATGGGCTGCAGGCCAGCCATGGCCAGAAAAGACAACAAAACAGGAATTTGTTTTCTTTTTTGTAACGACCTGCAAAATCACAGACTGAGAACTCTGCTGTTTTCTGAGTTTTGCGGCTGGATTGTTTGACTTGCTGAGATTCCCGCTTTCTGCTGAGATTTCTAGCTCTGTGTGTGAGAGTGCTTGCTGAGTTTCCGTGTGTTTGTCGGAGTGCGTGATTGCTGAGGTGTGTGAGTGACCTGCCAGGGTACTTGTATGCTGGATAGGCCCTCGGACCTGGTACCTACCTGTGGCCGTGCTTTTGTGGGGTTGCAGTGGGGTAGCGTTAGGGTAGGAACGTGTATGTTGGAAAGCGCTTGAGTAGCAGGTAGGTAGGCAGAAGAAGACAAAAATTTAGTACTCTTAGAGGCTGAAGGAAACTCTTGTAAACTAACCGACTACACAGCCAAACTAGGCTATCGTCTTTTCACCAAACCCATTTCAATAACCAACACAATACGCAACAGGTGGACAAAGGAGGAGCCACAATTAGCCAACACTCACTTCAAACTTCCCTGGGCTACAGTACTATCCACAAGACCAGTTAAGCTAGCTAGCCTCAGATGGCTAATAGCCTTTAGGGCAGCCCCAGTAAAACAAATGGTTGGCCACCAGACGCAAACAAGGAAACAGATCTGAACAGGATTCCTGGTGTAAGGTATGCAACCCCGACGTCCCTGGAACCCTAAACCACTGTTTCGTGGACTGCTTAAAGGCAAGATCCCTCTGGAAAGCCCTAGAATAATCATGGCTTAAGATCTCAGACCCTCTCCTACTAATTAACCCAGCCACACTATTCCTCGACCTCAACCAATCACCCCCGCTCAAAGGATTCGAAGCCGTCCTCGCCTCCCAAATCAAGAAAAGTACCCTATGGGCCATATGGAAAAACAGGTGCGACAACACCTTCGACGACCGACTTACCGCACCTGAAAACTCACTAATCATTATTCAACAACTAACAGACACCGAAATCCACGCCCTATGGAAAAAGCAACTCAAGAATCTCCCAAATGACCCAGACAAAAGAAATCTAATAATCCAGAAATTATCCATCTCCAAACTAGGCAATGGGCTACTAGGCACAATTAACAATGACACTACGACAGACTAATTCTCAAGAATTGGCTAACCATAACACAGATATAAAGCTTCCACACAACCCCCCCACCCCACACACAATCAGCCCCAATCCACCCTATCATCACGTACCCACCACCAAACCATCTAAGACCCCTCACCCCCCATCAGCCCCACTCCTTCCCCCCACCGCGCCCCCCACACTCGGAAGTGTCTGTCCCCACACCAACACAGTCCCCTACAATCCTCCCGCTCCACCCCCTCCACCCCTCCCTCCCGACTCCCTCCTTACATTACCTAGTACACCAAAATAAATTCACAACCCCCAACCCAGCCACCGTCCAGAACTCAACACTCCCCCTGCCAAGTTCACCCACACGCTAAGCCAAACAGTCCCCTTCAAGAGACATCTAGATCTCAGACTATACCCTCCTACACCTTAAAGCTACGACACAAATACGATCCCCGAAGATAAGTTAAAGCCACAGATGTACCAAGTCAGGGTATAGGGTTTTAGCACCAATTATGCGACAAATCCAGTTTCCCAGTAACACAGGCTAACTTAGGCAGGGGTGAAGAGTGGTACATCCTTCCCTCAAGAAGTAATCAATCCCGTCCTTCGGGCCTCCACACCACAAGGGGGAGGAGCGTGAGTGTGTACATCTTGTAATCTTTTCCGACTTGACGCTCCCTGGAATGGATAAGGAGCCGGAATCATAAGGTTCTGTTTTTGGGAAAAACGAAAAGAAAAGAAAAGGTCTAGGGGTACGTAGTCTGAGTCTAGGGCCTGTTGCACTGGATATCTGACCCCCAATGATGTTTCCCTGCAAAAGGAGGAAGGTACAGGTAGCTTGTGAGGCCAAACAGCCCGGAAAGTCGCCGCCCAGCTCTTGGTATATCACCAGGAGGAGTGAAGTGCTCCTCATCATTTTGCCGTGTGCAAGTTTGGCGTCACGCTGCTGGAGCGAGCGCTTGGCCAGTCCAACAGTGGGGAGAAAGCAGGCGGCCTGACCCTCCACCTCCAGCTATGGTGGAGCGGTCCAGGGAGGAAGGCTCCGGGCCTTAGTAGGAGGAGGAAGAAGGTGAGAAAGGAGGATAGTGACGGGAATGCTTACCTGGTTATGGTGGACGGCATCTTTATCTTCGTGGTTGGTGCTGCACCTGGAAGGCCCCACAAGGGGTAGACTTCATCAAGGAAGACTTCGGGGCAGATACGGGCATGGCGGCCATAGTAGAGAGGGCACATCAGTTTTGCGTTGTCCTTCGAACATTGGAGCAGGGCTCCGCTAGTCCGCCATAGCCACCTTCTAGGAGGAGGTAGAAGAAGGTGTGGGTCATGGCTATGGTGGACCTCATGTGTTGATGGCAGTGAGGAGGAGATTCAGACATTGGTTCTGGTTCACTCTTTCATTGTCATCATTTATTGTATCGAAGAGGAGAGATGAGGAGGTTGAAGGTGATGGCAAGTTGGAGGGGGATTTGACATTGGTCTTTGCTGGTGAACATCTTCTTCTTCTTCTTCCATTCTTAACTCTTCTTCTTCCTTTGTCTATTACTCTTTCCCAGTTCTTTCATTTCAGTTGCAATTGAATGGCATTGTCTTTGGTTGAGTTATTGCACTTCAGATAACCAGAATCTTAACATTTTCTTCATTTTTCTAATGCATGAATGTGCTCCCAAAGGCCTACTCTGCTGCTAATGCCTATTCAAAGTCACTGTGGATCTAATGTTGTATACTTATTACTTGACTGTTTATCAATAATTTTGAACATTTTATGTTTTTCTTCCAGGATGGGCTTGTGCTCCGTGGTTTGACACCCGAAGTGCTCATGTTGGATGACAAAGGCCGCCTTCAGGTAGGTGTTCGTAGACAACTCCTATTTGAGGTCTTGATCTTTAGCGGGAAAAGCAGAAAATAAGCATTTCATGATAAGGTGAACAAAGGAAAGGGAAGTCCATCCTTCCAATCTTGCTGTGAACCCCCCCCCTGTATGCTGCAAAGGACAAACATCAGTGGAGCTACACTGCGGGATGATATATCCTTAAAGGGCTAGGGTGGCAAAGACTTTGCCAAGAGAGCTCCTAGGCTTGTCATTCTTGCAACATCCCCATGAGCAAGTAATGTGGTCCACTGCATCTTTTAAAGGAGAAGAATGATTGATTGCAGTGACTTATGGGCTTTCCATGCCACAGACATTGTACATTCCATGACAAACGCAAAAGGTGCTGGCATCACCCTTCTGTCTAGTCCGCTCAGCTCAACCCATGAATGGTACGCCTGGCAACTTGTTTATCTTCTGTCTGGCCCCTATTCACACTTTCAAGATCCTTCGGCTGGCTTATCTTACACATTTCCGTCCATGCAACTCCATTGTGTAAAAGATTGAAGTCCCTACTGGTCTCCCTCTGGATTCCTGTGACTCATCAACAGTGATTTCGTCAAAATGGACATTTTTAATTTTTTGAACTAAATTGAAACCAACTAAATTGGCCCGATTGAGGTCGAAATTTTAGCTTCTGAGGGTACAGCGTTCTTAAAACGCCCTACCCCCTTGGATGTATCCGGACTTAGCTGGACTCCAGGGGGTACGGCGTTTTACGAACGCCGTACCCCTGGACGTATCTGGACCTAGCTGGAGTCCAGGGGGTACAGCGTTTTAACTTCTAAGAACGCAGTACCCTCAAAAGCAAAAAAATTGGACCTAAATCGGGCTAATTTAGTCGGTTTCAATTTCGTTCAAAAAATAGAAAATGTCCATTTTGACGAAATCGTTGTTCATCGGTCAAACCTGCCTACCCATAGGAATGCTGATTCTGCTTCTTTAAAAGTTTCACTATATTTTTCACATTGCAGATTGCAATATTGACTTCACCATAACCATGCAGCATGTGTGCAGCGCCAACCATCAGGATCCCATCGGTTGCAAGCAACATCGTGACACGGCCAGTACATGTCCCCAACAAACTTGAGAATTGAAATCGAGCCCCTCAAAAAAAAATGGGGACTCGGCGTAGGCCTGGTCGTGCGACGCGGGACGGCAAATGGACTAACTGACATTTCATTAAATTTGAAACATTTTTTTTCGTGTGACGAATTTGATCTTTGAAATTTCAACCATTTTTGGGACAATGTTTCAATAATTTCATCCCATGAAACGTGAGACGGCAGGTGATCCAGCATGTGGCGATCCTGGTTACTCCGGACCTGTACACCGGACCAGTCCAGGAGTCCGGCCCTACCTGTGTCTGGACTGCTCCAGACCGTCCAGATTGAAAATCCCCCTTAAACCACTAGTACCTCTGTCAGTGTTGGGAAACTACAAGTTTTAGCCTGTTCCCGAAGAAATCGGGAGTCCCAGTCGGCTCAACATCGATTCCCAAATGGAATTTTTTTTTGGGGGGCGTCGGTTTTCGGACAAGGTTGGACCCGTTTTTGTTCCTTGACGGTGGGCGCGTTGTGGAAACGCTAGTGGGTCCTACCGGGGAGGGTTCTGGCGTGGCAGGTCGGTCGTTCCGTGCTGAGCGGTCGTCCGTTTGGCCTGTGAGACTGGACGACCGTCTTCGCGGCCGACCAGCTTCCCTCCACGTGTGGAGGACCGCCGACTGTGGACGTCCCCATCTAGGGTTCTCCGCCGGCCGTCATCACATCTCTCTCTCTCTCTCTCTCTCTCTCTCTCTCTCTCTCTCTCTCTCTCTCTCTCTCTCTCTCTCTCTCTCTTAATGAGGCTACCGTCAAAAAGGGGAATCAATCTTCCCGTGCTTTCTCTCTCTCCTACGCGCCGCCGAGCCATGACTCGTAAGTGGACCAGTTGATTGAATCTTCCTGCTTTTGGCGGGAAGATTCATTCCATTTACCACTTTCGAATCT